ACACCGCGCTCCTTTCCTCTGATCGCCATGGCGATCGAGGGATGCTGGCCATCCCACCCTTCAATCGCCATGGTGAGGGTCCGGTGTTGATGTATGGCCTGCGCTCTTGCCCTCTCGCCCTCCAATGTCCATGGTGGGGGTCCGGGGTTGCTGCATAACCGGCGCCCCGGCCCTCCCGCCCTTTGATTGCCATGGTGGGGGTCCGGGGTTGTGTGGTGGATGCTTGGCCTGCGCCCCGGCCCTCCCGCCCTTTGATTGCCATGGTGGGGGTCCGGGGTTGATGAATGGCCTGCAACACCGCTCTCCCACCCAACAATCTCCATGGCGATCGAAGGACGCAGGCCATCCCACCTTCCATTGCCATGGTGAGGGTCCAGGGTCGCTGCCTGGCCGGCGTTCTGGCCCTCTCAACCTTCAATGTCCATGGCGGGGTTCTGAGGTAGCTACCTGGTCTATGCACTGGCCCTCCTGCCCTCAATCGCCATGGTTGGGGTTCGGGGATGCTGCCTAGCCTGCGCTCAGGCCCTCCAGCCCTCTGATCGCCATGGCGATCGCCGGAAGCACTCCAGCCAGCATCCAAGGCACCCAGGGTTCTCTGGTTGCTGCCTGGCCTGCAACACCGCCCTCCGTTCGCCATGGCGATCAACGTAGGCAGGCCCTCCTGCACTTCGGTTGCCAAGATGGGGTTGGGGGTTTATGCCTGGCCTTTGCTCTGGCCCACCCACCCTCAATTGCCATGGAGGTGGTCCGGGGTTGCTGCCTGTCCTGTCCCAGGCCCTCCCGCCATTTGATTGCCATGGTGGGGGTCCACGGTTGCTGCCTGTACTGCACCATGGCCCTCATGCCCTCGATCACCATGGTGAGGTTCCGTGGTTGCTGCCTGGCCTTCGCTCTGACCCTCCCGCCCTTCATTTGCCTCATGGGGGTCCGCGGTTGCTGCCTGGCCTGAGCCCCGGTCCTCCCTCCCTTCAATAGCCATGGTGGTGGTCTGAGGATTGATGCATGATCTGCGCTCCGGCCCTCCCGCCCTCCAATCGCCATGGCGATCTAGAGATGCAGGACCTCCCACTCTACCATTGCCATGGTCGGGGCCCGGGGTTGATGCATGGCCTGTGCCCCAGCCTTCCCACACTCCGATCGACATTGTGATCTCTAGAAGAAGGCCAGCCAGCAAACCCCTTACCTGGGGTCCAGGGTTTCTGCCTGGCCTGCTCCCTGGCTTTCCAGCCCTTCGATTGCTATGGTGGGGGTCCGGGCTTGATGTATGGCCGGCACTCTGGCCCTCCCGCCCTCCAATCGCAATGGCGATCTCCAGAAGCAGGCCAGCCAGCAACCCTGGCACCTGGAGTTCAGTGGTTGCTGCCTGGCCTGCAACATCACCCTCCCCCCCTCCGATCTCCATGGCGATTGATGGACGCAGGCCATCCCACCCTTCGATAGCCATGGTGGGGTTCTGCGGGTGCTGCCTGGCCTGCTCCCTGGCCGCCCGCCCTCAATCACCATCTGGGGGTCCGCGGTTGTAGCCTGTCCTGCGCCCAGGCCCTCCCGCACACCTATTGACATTGTGATCTCTGAAAGGCCAGCCAGCAACCCCCGTACCCGGAGGTCCGGGGTTGCTGCCTGGCCTGCGCTGCGGCCTTCCCGTCCTTCGATTGCCATGGTGGGGGTGCGGGCTTGATGCATGGCCTGCGCCCCAGCCCTCCGCTCTCAAATGTCCATGACGTGGGTTCGGGGTTACTGCCGGCCTGTAATCCGGACCTCCCTCCCTCAATTGCCATGGTCGAGTTCCGGGGTTGCTTCCTGGCCTACACCCCGGCCCTCCCGCCCTCCGATGCCCATGGTGGAGGTCCGGGGTTGCTGCCTGGCTTGCCCCCAGGCCTCCTTCCCTTTGATCGACAAAGTGAGGGTCCACGGTTGCTGCCTTGACTGCCTCCTGGCCACCCCACCCTCTGATGGCCATGGCGATAACCGGAAGCAGGCCAGCCAACAACCCTGACATCTGGGGTTCCGCAGTTGCTGCCTGTACTGTGCTCTGTCCCTCCTGCCCTCAATCACCATGGAGGGAGTCCAAGTTTGCTGCCTGGCCTCCGCTCTGGCCCTCTGGACCTCCTATCTGTTACAGAGCGAGTCCCTCAGAAACAGACCACCAACTCATAGATGGTTTGAGCAAGCAAGCGTTTATTGATTACAGATTCGAATCTGGGCCCCTGCCTGTAGCTGACACAGCAGCAGGCAATTGCCAGGTGAAGGGTGAAGGGCGGAGGGGCAGTCCCTCCTTTTATCACCCCTCCCAACCTAGGTTGATTTGTCCTTTTCCTATTGTTAGGCTACTGAACTAACAGCCCG